ACCAGCTTGCTTATATCAATCCGTTGATGGCGGTCACTTCGTTGTCCACTGAAAGGTAAGGTAAGATTGGCGCAGACCAAGGCATGATCAGAGTCCAGATAGGTACTCCAACAGGAGCGGCAGTCTTGTACACAACCACGCCAGCGGTAGCTGATCGCGATGTGATCAATCTGAGTCCAGGCTTGAGATGCAGAGGGAGGACGCCAGGTGGCACATCAGCGATGACTGTGCCGAAAGTTAGTGCTAGCCAGAAACATGTCCTGAGACCAACAAGTCCCCATCGGCCACCTAAACGACTCTCTTCTGTGCCTAGACGCCCGACCTGAGCATTCAAGTCTCCGACTAGTACTACAATATCTGTCGAACGCACTTTCTGGAGAAGAATAGTTAACTGGTGGTAGAATTCATCCTTGATTGCATCCGGGCTGCAATCTGTCGGGGCATAGGCAGAGATGACGAAAAGACATCGTTTCTCACGCCGATTTCTTCTCACTTTGATGGAACTCTCTAATCTAACAGCACATAACCGACTGTTAATGGGGATATAATCGATTAGTGCTGCCTCAGCTCTAGCGCTTAGTGCGACATCAATGCCAGCAAGACCAGATGGAGATTCCATAGGGTCTCCGGATAAGCGCACGTAAAACAAGCTTATCGAAGCGACAGATGTAGAGCGAATTTGTAGTACTTCGCCAGAGTCTTGAATACGGGTCTCTAATAGACAACAAGCGTCGATATTAAGACTTTCCGAGGACATAGCCAGCCCTATCTGTTGTCTGACCTGTATGAGTATGCGAACGTTGAAGGCAGCCAGTTTGAATGGTGCACGTGGTTTCAAAAATACTGCTTCAGTTCTCGTATTTAGTGGTAACATACAATTTTCAACCTAGCAGTGACTCGAGAACATTTAGATAGAACCGAGTTTACAGCATAAGCGAACTGCTGTATAAATCGAGAAATAAGGATACACAAAGTAGGAATAAAAGAGAGTGAATAAGTGACGTGGTAAATAATAATAATAATAATAATAATAATAATAATAATAATAATAATAATAATAATAATAATAATAATAATAATAATAATAATGGGAATTGTTTGACTGTAAATCGAAGCGTGAATAGAATGTTCAGTAGATATCGTCGTTATCATTTTATTTGTGTGTGGGCTGTGATACTGCCCGGGTGCCCAGACCGAAGCAGGTGGTTATCTTAGGGGGCCAAACCCCGAGCCTTTGACCTAAAGGTCTGATCCACAAGGTAGTGGAGCACCGTGAGGAGATGCAGTCCCATGGTAGCCGGTGACCAACGATTGGTTCATACACCATTTGTTCCCACAGGATACTGGAGCCCACGTGCACCATTGGTTTGGGATCCAGTTAAAGCGCCGGACATTCGCTTTTCGTCCTCTCATTTTCACAGACAACACCCCCGCCACGAGAAGGCAGTGAGTAGGACTTCCCTGGTGGAGGCTGTATACGCGTGGCCGTGTGAGAGTATTTCGAGAGGGAGGGCGGGCCTACCCTACTCTCGGCCATACCAGGGCATTGGAGGCAGAGATCATTCATTGATTAATGTCATAAAAAATCATAGATATTTTAAAATTATTGCCCATAATCTAACAGGTTACCTGCTTATATGCAGCAGGTTATATCTACCACACAAGGCGAACTTTTTCAAAACGCACTTCCGAATATTATTTTGTCTGGCTCTCCAAAGAATTACAGAAGTCACTGAAAAGCTCAATCTTGAAGCATCTAGTCAATTCTGAACACTCTGCTTCACCAGAAGCCTCCTTCAAAATCACACATACAGTCAAGAGAGTTGGTTCAGTAAGAATGTAAATGAAAAACTTGTGTACAACAAAGGCTATGGCTATTCACCAGTTCAACCCTAACGTTTATGTACAAAAACAGGATGTTCAGTCCTTCATTGTTTTATGATCCCAACCTCTCTATCTTTCGTAATCTATAGTTTTTTATTTTGTCATTTATACTATTTTCCAATTATTTTCACAGTTAATAATTAACGAATACCACAACTTTCAATTATTTTGTAGAATAGCTATCAAGTGGACAATTATCTTCACCTTACCACTTTTTCAACGGCCAACTGTTATGTAACTCACGTTCAATACCTGATTTTCAATTCCTGACAAAGTACCACTTCAATGAGTTTATAGGTATCAATGCCAAGGTTGGACTTGATAATTCCAAATAAGTTGAGCATTAAGTAGAAAGTGAGTAATCAACAAATTTTTGTTATATCCCAGAGTAAATTTACTCTTAAGAAGCGGCTTACATTAAGTCACAAAACGTCAGAAATATAATGTTTCTGCTCATTGGTATATAACAAGGATTTATTTATTGTTATACTGCTTCAAGTCTTTGAAATGATTAGCATACTTCCATCTTGCTATAGAACACTATTTTAGTAAATAAAATCAACTATACGACTATACAGCCTAATGAAATCGTAGAGAAAATTTTCTACGATGTATTGCCTTCTTTCTTCTTCAATGACAATTTAACTACTAATAAGTAGTATAAATTTTAGATTGGTAAGAATTCGTTTGCTAGATCAAGCATTCTGTTGTTGTTGTAGTCTTCAAAACCTTTTTCATCCAAGTCACTAGAAGCTAGGAAAACCAAGAAAAGTTTTACCCAGTCAGCATTGAATAGAATCTTTGCAGAAATACCTAAAAAAAGTTGAATCACGTGCCATAGCTTTGATGAGATGTTGATCTATAATGCTACTATATTCTATGAATATTCGAAGCCAAAGGTCGCGTGTGGTTTTATAAATACCCACATTTTTAAGTACTTAAATTAACCTTAGAATAAAACTTTAACTCACAATTTGTGCCTTCTCTCTGGTGTTTCAGTTGTCGTGTAGAAGTAGCTGGGGATATCTCAACCTTCTAAAAAGACAGTTTAGGCGTGGCAATAGCAAAACTTATCATCCATGACTTAACAAGTATTTTTTAAGTAACTAATAATGAAGGATTATTAAATTATACATTTTATGTTATGTAGTGTTGGAAGAAAAACTAAAGATGTGTTAAACTCTTATACTTTTACAGGTAGTTTTCTCTAAGCATTCTAATTATGAAACGCATCATTTCATGAAGCCTAAGATTTATTCCAAAGACTATAAAATTCATAATAAACAATTAATTGAAATAACGAGAGTATAAACTAACAATAAAAGGTTTATATGTGAGCCGTAAATTATTTTATCCGGTTATTTCAGTTACAATATTTTTGAGCTAATAAGATTTTAACTAACTGAATGGTTGACAGTTTTGATATTAAATTCTCTTTCACTAACAAACATTCCATTCATTTTGATGCACACTCATGTAGGTCTTTAAACAAAGATGAAACAGATATCTAGTGTTCGGTGGTTTTCAGTTACTCACTGACTAGCTGATGACAGTTTATAGTGAAAACGATTTTTAATTAAGTTTAGTTTCAATAGTTGAAATCATGAGTCAATTGAAGTTAGACCACAATAGAAAACCTGGAAGCACTGGACGGCCGTTTCGTCCTAGTATGGAACTCAGCAGTGCGCATCCATGATCCTGCCCCCCCGCGAGATTCGAACCCAGGACCTATCTAAATTATATTATTATTATGTAGATTAACAAAAGGTTGACTGATCTGCCTTTTCAGTCCATTTAAAGCAGTAATAGTGCCAATAAAACTTTTCTGTTCAAAACTATTCATCTAGTCACTTTGAATAAATATAGAATTTGAAACTATAATAAATAAATGTAAATAACTGAATAATAGAAAAGTTATATATATACTTAGAAAACATAATATTTAGTCTAAACGACAATATAGGAGAGTTATGTCGCTAAACAGTTTTCATTACTTTTCTTACGAAATACTGATCCGTTTACAAAACTTATATTTTAATTTATTTTGTATTTTTGGTTTGAATCTCCCTATTGATGTTTAGGACTATAATTGATCAGTCTCTTATTAACACATGTAAATCCTGTGCAGAATGCCTCAATATTACCTTAAGTCACAAGCATTATAAGCAAAAATAGATGGTGGCTAGCAGTGGAATCGAGGACGCGCGTTTCGTCCTATTTGGGGCTTGTGATCAACTCTGAATGAATATTAAATCTGGGATGTAGGTAGATCCAGTTGACGACTCACAAATACGACGGAAGGCGAGTTCTGGATTCCACTGCTGGCCACCATCCATCTTTGCTTATAACTGATGTTTTGTTTACCGAAATAGATATTTGTATCTGAGATTGCCAATTATTTAAGTATGATAAAAATAGTAGACCATCTAGATTTTAGATAGTATTATCTGCCATTAAAGTAAAGATTAGTTTTTGCAAAAACAAATGAATAATAATTAGATGAAAAACGCTTTCATTGCACTTAGATATAAAGGAAGAATATTTTTTTCGGTCAATTCTCTCCAGGTTCTACAGTTATATATCTAAATTAATCATCCAAAAAGTATCCAGGTTTAGGATAAAGTATATCGTTTAAGGTTTTATTATGTGAATTGAAGATTGTTAAGTAAAATAAAATGTATTTCAGATGGATTTTGTGGATATTATAGTAATTCCAATGGTTAAGATCATGAGTCAGTTGAAGCCAGACCACCACGGAAAACTTAGAAGCACTGGACGGCCGTTTCGTCCTATTTTGGGACTCCTCATTGGTGGTCTAGTGCTTAAGTGCTCGCGCACGAAACCAGTAGGTCTTGGGTTCGAATCTCGCGGGGAGGTGGGGTCGTGGATGTGTACTGCTTAGGAGTCCCACAATAGGACGAAACGACCGCCCAGTGCTTCTAGGTTTTCCATGGTGGTCTAGCTTCAACTGACTCATGATCTTAACCATTGAAATTAGAATAAAATTATTAATTTTGAAATGACTAATATGTAAACCTGAATGAGTTTATGCATTATATAAAGTTGTAAGAATAATGATCAAAATAATTATAGCTGATTACAATCAATATGCATACCTCTATTCCGTAAGTTGTTCGCATTTTCATTCTCAATCCTACTAATCCACACCATGGTAAACATGGATAACACGTTTTTTCATTCATTGCTTTTGTCAGTTGATTTAATAGACAGAAGTAACAACATACAGCAAAACAACCTGTAAATTTTTATTATTAAATATTACAATAAATATATATTGTGTATATAAAGTGAGAAAGAATCAATATTATTTTGTAAAAATAAAGTACCGATTTTGGATAATACAAACGAATCTAATGTTACATGTTACTTCATAATCACAATCTAATCTTAACTGACTTTTAACACTTGGCAATAAAACATAACTCCACATAACTTTACATTATGTAGTTCTGTCGTGTGCCATTCAGTGATTCAATCAGGATATCATGTTTAGATACATTGTTAATAAAAATGGCTTTCGATGAACTGACATGTTAGTTGAATATTTACCGAGTTGTTTATATTGATTCATTCTAAATTAGACCTTAATGAAGTATGTGGCTAATACTGAGAATAAATTTGAAATGTCTCAGCCTTTGTGTTAACCAATTAGTACTTAAATCGTTAAAATAGGGAACATGTCTTTAAACAATTCAGTGAATATAGTATTATTGCTTGACTTATTAAATTTTTAGGGTTTGTAGTAAGTTTCAATGGGTTTTTGATTACAAGCAATTAATCAGTCGAAAGACGATTACCTTCTGTTTGGGTCATTTAACAGGATATAAGTTGTTTTATCTAGGATTTCCTAAAGCATATTGTTATGTCCCGACAAGAATAATGAATGGTAACTTTTGGAATCTATTGATGGACCAATACTAAACGTATATTTCTATTGTATAGCTATTAAGTAACTAAGCTATGCATACTCATATTCTTCTTATCATGAGCATTATTTTGACCCATAAACTATTATTATACGTTTTACCATTCTTGAGTTATATCCAGCATATTAATTACTACCTCCCTCATTCACAGTCACATCCGGCTAATTCTTGTACAAATGTTATTTCATATTTTATTGATACGTTGTGGTCTGTTTGATTGGTATATAAAATCAGTATGTTTGAAATATAATGATTCATATTGTAGAGGCTGAGACTGGTGTTCTGGACTTAACTGGTTGGGCTAGGCGGAAAGCAGGACCAATCAGAACTCTAGGCTGCTCGCACGTGTTTTAAGCGTCCTTGGTTTGATCGACAATTCACTGCCCTCTAATCGGCAGTCACAAGTTATAACACATATAATGTGTTTATTCACGAACTACATAGAAAAGTAGACAATCTGAGATCATATTCTGAGACCATCTGTCAATTAAATCTTTGATTCTTTCAAACAACTTACATCTAACAAAGATAGTTATTATTTAGTGAGCCAGTAATTATATTATTTGGTCATGAGTTAGTGGTTATCAAAAGTAAAAGAAACAGACTTTTATTACATTAAGGTTCGTATCATGTAATGAACCTACAAATCGAATATTGTTTATAAAACAATTAATGATCAGAATGACTTTTGTGGAGACTTTAAAAATTTCACTGGTTGAAATCATGAGTCAATTGAAGCTAGACCACCATGAAAAACCTGGAAGAACTGGACGGCCGTTTCGTCCTATTGTGGGACTCCTCAGCAGTGCGCATCCACGATCCCGCCCCCCGCGAGATTTGAACCCTGGACCTATCAGTCTCGCGCCAGGCGCTTACCCAACTAGACCAGAGTGATAGGTCCTGGGTTAGAATCTCGCGGGGGGCGGGATCGTGGATGCGCACTGCTGAGTTCAGTTAATAATCGTTCAATTAACTAATACCTTTTGTAAATTATGCATAGATCATTATCAGAATTAGTCAATTATTATTATTTAGCAAATTAAATTATCAAATCATTTATAAAAATCACAGACGCAACAATTTGGTCATCTTATTTTTTCTTCGAAATTCCATTGATTTCACATCTAATACTAAGTGTACTAATCACTAATATTGCTGATGGATTCTTATCTATCAAAAGAAATCAGACCTGGCAGTCGAAACCCAACATGTTCAATGTTTACATCTCTAAATGTGACACCAGAGGATCTAGGTTTGAAATCTACGAGTGGATCAACTTCCTGTAAATTGAAAATATTCTTAACTGATAAGTGTTGGCCAACTATTTCTAATTAATTGAAATAAAAACAAAGCTATTACCACTTTAGTCATGTATTAGAACTAGTGTAGAACGGCATAATTTTCTATTCTAACTCCCTGATTTAAATACACATGTGTCATGAGATGTTTACATCCGATAGAATATAAATCTATTTTTATATTATTACATCAGAAGCTAATCATCAGAATTAAAACATGAATGAAAATTTTAGTTAAACTAACCCCAATCCCTATTTTTACAACAATAACAAATCCCACTAGTCCATTGTCGATGAGGTGGAGGTACCAAAGTGAGATTACGTGGTGGTACTGATTTTCCAGGTTGATCAAGTATAGTTCCAACTTCTTTTTTAGATTGCATCTTTATTATATTCCAGTAGGACTATGTTTAATGTTCGATTAAGCGTCTTTATTATGAAAATGGAACAGAATCAATAATGTAAAAACTTATCGTTAGAAAATTTAGAAACAAACCTGATATCACTCGATTTGGTAAATAATCTGAATGGATTTGTTTTAGAATAGAATAAACAGACAATTATACAAACATAACACATATCTGTCGAGACAAAAAATGAGGGTGATTAAATGAGCAAGTTAATAAAGTTAGATCATTTGTAAAATTTAACTGATAAAATTAATTGATTTGACAGAGAAATCACTTTGTAACTTGTCAATGAAATAACTACAAGTTGATTATGGTAACTGGATTACAACACCATCAATTTATAAGATTATAAAGCTTATCATAGAAAGAAGAATCTAAGAAATGAGCTCACCTGCTTTTTAATTGTAACTTAACTTGTTTAATCAATGTTATATTATTAAAAATTAAATACAGAGAAGCATAAATCATAACTCACCATCGAAATATTTATGCCATCATGAGATCATATTGAAATAAGACTAAATCGAAATTAATGTGAAGTAATACAAAGTCATTATAGAGCAACAGGTAATATGCATTATATCGGACAGTTTAGACGATTGTCTTCAAACCTCTTCTTCTGTATAATGAAACAGATATAATTATAAATAAGAATATTGGACAATAATTTATGTGATCTATGTGAATGCAGTCTAATCTAGTGAGACGGAAGTAGTCCCACCGTGCTTACGTTGAAGTTGCACTTAGTACTTATCCTGTATTTTACCATCATGGTTGCCAAGTAAACTGACCTTCTACGTAGCTTGAGTAAATACACCCAATAGGCTACTAAATATACTAGTATTAACTCGTAAAAGAAGTAGACGTCGATTGTTCTTCACCTTGATGAGGATCGGTCGATTTCGAAGCTCAGTACCTTGCCTGCTCAATGAATTACTAAGGTTCAATTACATTTCTTGGAACACTAAACACCTGGACAACCTGTATATATTCAAGCAACCGGGAATATGCATTATATCGTAAAGTTTAAACGCTTGTATTCAAACCTCTTCTGTATAATGAACTTGATATAATTAACAACGCTAATTTTGTGAAATTAGCACATATGTGGAAACACCGGGGTTCTCTTAGAAACATGATTCCTGGATTCTAGCTCTCAAGAATCATTTTATGGCTTCTCATCAATGACTAATCATTGTCTTTATATATATGTGGCTAATAGAAATATAATCGGAAAGTAGCCTGAACGAACAATTCAAGTTGACATACATTCACTTCGTCATTTCCAGAGTATAATCATCATAGTTAAAAAAATTGACATATAAAATGCACATTTTGTTGGAAAGCGATTTCATATATGAACTTCAGAGAGGCAAAAGTCACTTAATCCACTCAAATTCAGAATCTATGTTATGAATGATACAGAACGAAGGGATTCTCTGTTAGAATAAACTGGCGGAAAAGATATTTTTAACTCTGGTTATGAAGCAAGTAAAAGTTAGTTTTAGTGATAAATAGTGCATGTCAGTATCTCAATGGAAAAATCTTCATGAGTTCGATACGCCTTAGATAGTGTCTACATTTAAATGGTCAATTAATGAAAATCCTCTCCTAATTTTGATTTAGAATGTACGAAAACTATAGTGTTGTTTGTTGACAAAATAAAAGTATTCTGAAGTATAAGTATCATGAAGCGATTAGATTTATAACCAATATATTAGAATTAACGATTACTGTGTATATTTTTGATCTTAGAATATCAGGAGTTTTCCGATAACCATGGTACTGAGTTGAATCAATTTACAGATAGTTGTTGTGCATACATTTGAAGCAATCTAAATCATTATCCGTGTGTTTGAAATGCAAGCGTTCGTTAGTGAGGAATTAATAATTAATACAGACGATTACGTGAGCGCGTAAGAAACACTAATTAGAAAATGACGATTGGTGATTATGGTAAACTGGTATCATATATCTTAGTAAATACATAATTCATCGACTACGAATAGAACATATTGTTCCGAACAATAACCAAATTAATTACTGATATGGTTTTGTGGGAATTTTCGTGTAACCTGAACACCACGTCTCACTAAAAATTGATTTCATTGTTAACCAGAAAGTAATGAACAGTGGTTTCAATCTAATGCCACAAACATACACTCACGTTTCTATACTCACTGGAACATGGGATGCTCAGAGTTCATAGCGAACAAGGCACCTCTGAGACGGACAACAGAATATGGATGGCATCAGATGATGATTATGACACATCAAAATCTAGTTGAAGTCGGGAATGTTGACCTAAGGATCTCAACTGTTTGCCTCAACGAGATAGTGAGACTTCATTGTAGACAGTCAGATTTTCTGTGTGGTCATGAGTGAGCACTAATTAAGAATGTCGGACCGGAACAAAGTATCTAGCCAGTCATTCATTTGGTGTCATTATATTATAACAACTGTCCTCATATGAAATAAATTCCCACAAACCAACTAACCAAAAATTGATTGCCGAACCACGTGTTAGAATGATTTACATGGATAAGTATGACATACATAATTTTCCTTGAGTCTTCAGTACTATGATATCGTTTTCAATTACTGAAGTAAATGTTAGTCCCAAAATATTTACTTGTCATTTTGATTGAGTTATTGACTGATAAAACTGCAGCGACTGGTGAGAGGTTGGCGAATTGATAGTGTTTTCTACAAGGTCGGGTTTTTAGTTTCGACTACATAGATATACATGGCCCTTGTATTAGAAAGTATGGGAATGCTTTTTTTAGTAACTTCGTGCCTGATGTGATTTCTTTGAATATTTAGTTGACTAAATGCAACTTGAATTCCAGTGTCTACGAAGACTGCTAGTGACTTAATGATCATATGTAAAATTAATAAACACTTTTTTACTTTTACGGTTTTGTATTTTCTCGGTTTTAGCATTCAGAACTAAAGTTGACTGGTTAATAGTAACTTCATTCCTGATGAAAAATTTAGTGGTTATCTGAACTCAATAGCTTAGCTGACGTTTGAAGTGAAAGATATTGATTACCGGTCTTAGTGTGAACACGAACTCCAACCCACGTTTATCTATCTGATGAGTCACGAAACACCGATTGTGCTTGACTATTGTTAGCCACAATCCCAAGATTTGCTGAACCATTTTTCTTCTTCTTTACAAGACATTTCACGCCGAACAGGAGAGACTGTTTTTATTGTACCTCATATTGATAATAAGTAGTTCGTTTCATAATTCCCTTATAGCACAAATATTAAGCTTTACTTGGAGAAAGTGGTGTTTTGGTACATAGTTTCCTGAATGGCGTAATTTCGCAAATATTATTTGATTCGGTAGTAAGAGAATGCTGAAGATGACTTGGAACGCTGTATATATGAGACAAATATTCTTGGTTCACTAAAACCATGGTCAACTGGTATATTTCAGAAAATACTAGTAAAAATAAATTTATTTGAGAAAATCGAGCTTCTTATCCTAACAGCTGTTCAAAGTTTTGATCCAATAGTAGATCATTTACAATCAAATTCCGAATTCTTTAGCGTCCACGTCTTGGACTTCGCCTACTGTTTGGTCTCCTCTTGCCTATCAATGAAAGAATATATTATTTAGTAGGAATACTAGTAGATTTTGTACTGTGCGCAAGCACAAAAAGTGGTAATGTTTTCTTTTATGCTGCTGAGTTAAAAAGCACCAAGGATCTCTTAGTTCAGATGTGCACTGTGAATTAGATCTTATCACGTTGATGACTGCTTTAGTTAACTTGCTAACTCTTGTTCACTGATTGTCTCTATCCTGATTTGACACATTGGACAAACAATTTTTAATTAAATTTTTTTTAAATACAACATGTCACAGTGAACTAACTTTCCCTCTTGTTTATATGCGTAGGACAGTTTCATGGTCAGACAATATCGTTATTTATGGTTTGGAGAACAGTGTCAAAAATATTAACATCACATATATAGTCGATGTTCAAGAATTTCTGAATAAAATAGGTGGTGAGTTATGTGACAGATTTTTAAAGGTAGATTACGTAGACTTAACAAATCTAATAAATTCACACTTATTATTACGTACAAATCAGGTAAGAACCCGTACTTCATAACTTCTCATCTCTCAATTGCTGAAAATCTCAATTCATGTAGTATGTTTATTAAACTTGATATTGTGAGGAAAATATTTCATTTCCTATCACAGAGTTTATATCAATAATCTCAGATGAACTAACGTATAATGATTTCATTGAGATAGAACTGTCTTGGTTCTTTGTAATAATGATATGTTAATCGATTTAAATATTATGTAAAATATTTGTCTATGTCGTCTGGTAAAAAAGTTTACCATATAATTGTTCATATAACAAATTTATGTTTACCTAGCTAGTGTTACAATATACTCTGACGTGTTAATTAATACATAATTAACAAAATACGTGTTAAAAACTACAATAATAGGTCGGTATGAAAAAACTAACCGCAACAGCAACAACATGTGTCATTGCGGCGTGGTGATTGCGATAGCCCTCGATTTGGGTGTGGGGATGCACCCCTACTGGTAGGCGTTCCACTCCGACTAAAATTTCCTGGTTGCTGTCGAATAACTTGGTCTTTCTGTGGCATATTATAAAAGTTTACTCTTATATAAACTTTTATATACTTGGACGTCGAGTGCACGAACTAATTATCCAATCAAAGATGTTTCCAACCAATTTATCAAGCTGGGCGATGTACTTTACAAGTATTCATTTATTTGTGAACAAATTTCCATAAAATTGTTAGCTTTTGTCCTTGATAGGTTACTTTTGACCTGGTGAAGGGTACTTAATGACCAAAACTCTTGGAGTACCAATTGTAAGTAAATCCGATCATATGACAACATCATTAGTGCAGGTGAACCATCCAGGAAAACAACTGCTTTATATAGTAACATTGCCTTGATTATTTCAATTCAATAAGCAAATAAATAGGTCAAGGAAAACCCATAAATAAAGTCGTGTTTTCTCAAATATATCTACTTAAAAAATCAAGATGGAGCGGTGGGTTTATGGTTAAAGAATCCGGATTTCAACCATTAGGTGACAGGTTAGGACTCCACTTCACCTACTTCGGTCTGAGATATCGAGTAGTGGTCGAGCTCCGTAGCTTCCCGGGAACCCAAACCAGTTAGC